CTACTCCCTAACGGAATGACCGATGCAGTTGGCTGTCACTTGGAAAGCTACTCTCGCATTATTTGAGGTTTGTAATGGTTTTATTTGTTTTATTAATTCAGATGATACTGTGCAAATAAAGGCAGAGGGAGAAGAACTATTTCTGTACACCATCAATTCACACAGCTATTATTTCTTCAGTTCCCCAGTGTTCACAGAACTACTTACATCAGCAAGGAAGCCAGAGGAAGCTGCTCTGCACAGGCGAGCACGCAGTCCAGGATGATGAGTCACCCTTTCTGTGCTCTTTGGGAAAATGGCTGAGCTCCTCCACCGAAGACAGCCGCACGGCTGCACTCCCGCACGCGGGGAGGGCCACTGACGCCTCCAACCTTCCAATGCCGAGGCACACTCTCGCTGGGGACAGCTCTGCGCTGTGACCACAGGTAGCCAGGCTGAACTTGCAGCAAGAACCTGAAGTGTGGACTAGAAACAGTACAACACAGGCCTAGGATTCTCAGGAGCCAGCAGTCACGAGGAATGATCTTGGGAGATGGAGACCATTGAGTTCCCTGTCTCCCAGCAGCTGAGCCAGTGGAGAAAGGCCTTCCTGGAGACTTCTGAAACAACTCAGCAAGGCTGTGCTGGGTTCTCTAAAACTATTTCAAAAAGGAATGTATACACAGTACTGAACTGTCCACTAAAAATCACAAGTCAATTAAATATAATAAATGCAACAATTACTTCCCTTTTCCTAGATTTCTTTGAAGGAAAGAAAAATGGAGTCATTTGAAAACTGAGGTTCTTGGATTCTCGTTGAGGGATCTGGAGGTGTTGCTTCCACACTACTTCTCCAGATATTTAAAAAGAAAAAAAAACAAACTAGTAACTTTCCGTTCCAAGGACAACAATGCAGGCTAGGAAAATTGGCATCACTTGGATGTGGCTACAGGGCCCCGCATCAGCCAGGACAGCCTTGCACTTCAGAGAGAAGCAAACAGACTCCAGAAGGATGTGTGGGAATTGGGCAAGCAGGAACGGTGATAAAACACCCTTACATTCTACAAAATGATGAAGGCCATTAAGCTTTACTACAAAATCCCTCAAATTAATGTGTTTCTAATTTTAGCATTAGATGAGGCTGGTCTATTGAGTACAATGATTTGCATAATGATGGCAAAAAGCGAAGTTCTATTAGGAAGGCAAAGTTGAGTGATCTAAAGCTCAACTTTTAATTCCTGAGCAGCTTCCGTCTAATGAGCCCAAACAAGTCAGACCTGTCTCTGGTCTCTTTTTCAACAGCAGCTGAGAAATGATGTGGGGGGCAGTTTTTACAACACACACCCATGGTTTCTCAAACATCCCTTTCTAAGTAGTCACACTGAGGAAGGAAGGTGGTACCTGCTCCCTGTGGCACTGGGAGTTGAGTCTGAAACTGCAGGCTGAGTTCTGAAGCTTGTATTTTTTTCTCCTTACCATTTACATGTGCTTCGAGCTACAGGTTGTAAAATGTCAATCTCTCGGGCCCGGCGCGGTGGCGCAAGTGGTTAAAGGTCCTCGCCTTGCATGCCCGGGATCCCATATGGGCGCCGGTTCTAATCCCGGCAGCCCCGCTTCCCTTCCAGCTCCCTGCTTGTGGCCTGGGAAAGCAGTCGAGGACGGCCCAAAGCTTTGGGAACCTGCACCCGCGTGGGAGACCTGGAAGAGGCTCCTGGCTTCGGATCGGCATAGCATCGGCCCGTTGCGGTCACTTGGGGAGTGAAATCATCGGACGGAAGATCTTCCTCTCTGTCTCTCCTCTCTGTACATCGCCTTTCCAATAACAAAATAATAAAAATAAATCTTTAAAAAAAAAAAAGTCAATCTCTCTTTTAAAAATATAAAGGTCTGAAGTTACTGGCCAGTCAAAATGACGCTCCCAGCAGGTTAGCTGGGCTCCAGGTTGGCCTATACTGATCGAGGTTCAGTGGCTCACATGTGGCAGTCCGGCCAGCCAGAACGAAGTGGCTTTGCTGTAGCACACAGAGCCCAGGTCCTTTCCAACTTACTGCCCCCCTCCAGCAAAACGGTGCCATTTCTGCTTGACATGGACTCAGCTCCTACTCTGATCTGGGCCCAGAGAGGGAGAAGGGAACCTGGAACTGACATCACTTTGACTTACAATTCCTGAACACCACGGCCAGCAAAGATGAAGGACAATGGTTCAGAGTCAAAATGCTGCTGCAGCGAGGTATGCCATTGCCAGCGACAGCTGCTTTCTTGCAGCAAGGCCCTGGTCTAGTCTGCACGCTGTCTTCTGTCCAGGGCCATGCAGTGGCTACCTCGGGCGCTGTGAGTCGTCAAGTCTCCATCGTCACCACGGAGCTCTGCTGTGGTGGTGCACGAGTAGGTGCGGACTCCGCCTGCACAAACGACCAGGCAGCTGCTGCAGTTCTACTGCAACCAAACAAATGACCACACATGCAGAGGGTTGACGGAACACACACACACTGCCACAACTGCAGAGCTGGGTGCTTGCCTAGGATCTGCAAGTCCATGACTGTACTCGTTTGGAAGCCTGGCTGAGTGGCAGCCCTCGGTCGGGCTCCTATGGGCAGAACAGACTTTCCCAAGGTTGCTGGACTCATGGCCTCAACTTCTTGCCACTGTTGTCCCTCAGTTCCCAGAGGTTGTCTGTCGTTCCTGGCCATGGGGTCCCTTGTGTCACTCCTCGGGATTTCTGCAGATTGGTCCTCAAAGCCATGGGGGCACAAATGTCTTTCTCTGCAAGTTCAGTAGCAAGGCAGTTGTGTTCTAATCAAATTTCATCTGCAAAAATGAGTGGTGGGCTACTGCTGTCCCTGCTGACCCCTGGCGTATGGAGTAAAGTGGAGCAAGAAGAAGTCAAAACTGAGCATAATGAAACAATTGCTCAGAGCCAGGAGGGCCATGTAAAGACACCCATGGGGAAAAGCATTTCCCATTCTAGTCTTCCATTAACCCATTCTTAATTTTATTAATAAAATGTATTAATATTGGGATAGATTGTCACTGTGTTAGAAGCCAGTGATTACAAAGTGAAATTGTTATTAGAGCTCATATAAATTCAAAGTGAAGGAACTTCATATCCAGCTTGTTGAAATTTTCGTTTTAATTCAAATCTCCTCTGGAATAATTTCAACAGAAAGCCTCATTACTTTCTTAACAATTGTACAAATAACAGTTAATACTTATTATTTGATAATTGGAGTCAGGGATCATGTTCATTGCTTACCATGGGTTATTCCATTTAATCTTCAGAATACCGTTTCGTCATCTGTATTATTCTCATGGCAAGGACCGGGAGAACAGGTGTTAGCAATGGGAGTAACTCACTCAACACACACATGCAGGCAGCAGGACCAGGACATGCCCCCTGGCACTGCCCACAGGGGCCAGACCATTCAGTCTTCTCCGCTGTGTAATGAGATTCTTAGAAGGATTTGAAATGCCACATCTTCTTCGACTAATGCTAATGCTTTAAGGAATAAAACTCTATAAAACTGTCACAAGTCCATCATTCTGCTATTTAAGTGTTTCATGGCATTGCAGGCATCCTACTGTCAAGATTCAACAGTCTCACTGGAAATGTCCTGCATTGAATCTTTACTACTTGATATTCCAGTCTCCATTCATACAGTTCTTCTAGGAGAAAACAGTATGAACATACTACATTGTTCATATTCAATATACACAACACAGACGAATATACGTATACACATGGTTATCTATGTATCTACTGATCCTATATTTTGTATAAAGACTGTCTTATATCAGAGAGAACATATAAAATACAAAATGAAATACATTTCAGGAGTACATTCCCTTTGAGTCAAACATAGTTGAGGTAGGCTAGTAGAGTACCACCCGGCAAGGTTTTCTATAGATCCAAATATAAACACAGACCAGGTACTTTCACCAAATTTCATTCCTAACCTTCACTTTTAGCACGGAATTCACTTGGCCATTACACTGATGATGACAGATCTGCCTACACAGCCAGTCGGGGAGACCGAGCAAGTTCAACATTGGTGGGAAACACATCTGCAGGTGCAGGAGAAACACGAAAGAAATGTTTACTGAGATGTTCCCTCTGCATCTCAGCTACTTACCTCAGGGTCCTGGCCAATGCCATAGACAAGAGAGATCCGACAAGCATGCTTCACAGCCGGCCAGGCAAGGGCAATGTGACCTGAGCGACTCCTAACCCCCTAACTGGAAGCGAGCAGCTGGCTGGAGGCTGAGACTCCTACCACAGTCGCTGGGCGCAAGGCCCATCTGCACTTTCGACTCCAGCTTCCTGCAAATGCACATGCTGGGGGCTCACGTGATTAGGTCACGCCCGCGTGGGAGGCCCAGATGGCAGTTTCCAGCTCCCAGCTTCATCCCAGCCCTCTGTGGCCACTGTGGGCATATGGGGAATGAGCCAGCAGAGAGGAGATTTCTCCGCCGTTCTCACTGCTTTCCCAATAAAACAAAATCAATAATTTGACTCTATCAATTACACACAACTTTAGTATTTGCTTTCTGAAATACTGCAAACCCTCAATTCCTGCAAGCTACAACATTCAAATGCACATATAACCAAGTTTAAATTCCATATATTGAACACTGAATGTTGTATCAGCCAGAAGAAATATGCTTGTTTTAATAGCTTTGTTTCTTTAAAATAGGACCTTTCTGAAATCAAAATCAAATTCATTCATGTGAGAAAAATCATGTTAGAATCCGCCTCCTGCTCTATAGCGGATGTAAAATAGGTATTTCACCCATAAAAAGTTCAACTCATTTTTTTCTGTAGGCAATCACGCTCATATTTACATATGAAAGTAGCTCAAAATGTTCGTGGAAGATATGCATCACCTTTTAATTCCACGTTCCGTGAACTGTTCCAAGTACTCTCACACATTCATACACGCATATACCATAAAATACATGGAACAACAATATTGTAGGCTTTAGTTCAACTATGACAAAAATTTATTTATTGGAATCATTTCTCATATTTATAGGCATAGAATATAAAAGATAACCCATTTAAAGCTGTAAGGACGTCCATTTAGCATTCGTTACAATTCCCCTTACTCATGACCTGACTTTGTTCCCGGTCTATGAAGTGAATCATCACGGATGTAAAGCACCAAGAAAAGCAACAAAACTCCACGCTATTATTAAATCATCAGATTCAGAAAACACTAGAAGGATGGAGGATGTCTCAGTGGAATTAACCAATATAATATCACTAGTTCTATTATAAATTCCTTTCCTTTGCCATTTACTAAGCAAAACTCACTCATTCTAGTCAAGGGGAAATGGCATGAAGCATCTGGCTGCAGGGCTCTGTTCTCTGAACCGTGCTCGCGCAGCGTGGCCCTGTCTGCTGGGCTACACTTTCTGGAGGCAACAAGGGGTCGTCAGATAAACAGGCCAGCAAAGAGCAACAGTCAGAAACGAGGCGGTGCCCGTGTCTGCGTCTTTCAGAGCTGCCGGCTCGCAGGACCCACGTGAGAGCCCGGGAGCTCTTCACCACGACCTCCCTGGACGGCGATTCGTCTGAGCAGTCACAAGCTATGAAATGTGTAAAGGGAAAGCTGCTGAAGCCTGCAGAAATCGCAACCTGGCAATCCGCTTTCAATGCACAGTAACGAGGGGCAGCAGCGCGGTGGGAGGGCAGGCCTCGCATCACGTCAGGGCGTCCAGCTGCGCTTGCACGGTCTCCAGCTATCGGCAAAGACAAAAAGAAAAACTCCTAAGGCGCTGTTTAGAAACACGGAGATGAAAGGCAAAGAACGGCGCTGGTAATTTTGCATATTCAACTCACAAAGGAAGAAAAATATTTTCCTTGTACGTGAAGATACTAGAATTCATGCTTGCTTTGCAATTTCAGTTTTTAAATTTGCTAAGGTTTCACTTGGAATCAGCCCTACATGCTGAGATTTTAAAGCTGGGGGCTTACAGGGATTATGAAGCCAGTATTTAGAAGGGACCATGAACGACAACCAGAGCTAGCTGTCTCACTGCTCGGCATCTCCCTCCCAGGTCCCTGACCCCTGCGCCCAGAACAGGAGCCCCTCAGACCACCTGCACTCACCCTTCCCGGCGGCTGCAATTACCTGGAGTGCTGACTCAATGCTTTACATTAAACCAACAATCCTACTGCCTTAATTAAAACCATTTCCATCTTTCTTCCTCATTTAGCTTTTTAGATTCTCTCCATGTCAGCTACACTTCCCACTGTGAAACACCAGAGTATTTACAAGGGGTCTTAGAGGAATCAGCTCCGCCACAGCATATTTAAAAATAAGACATCACAAAACAAAGGAAACATGACAAAACCTCCATGTATCAAACAGTTATTTTTAAAAACCTCTACCTTGTTGTAGAAATCAAACAGCTCCTCATGACTGAATTCCACAAGAACTTTCTCGAGGTTCTGCAGAGAAAAAAAACAACCAAGAAAAAAGAAGTCAGCTGTTTATAAATCACACTGTACCATCTTTCTTCAGCTAGGCTCACGGTATTATTCTCGGAGAGGTTTAAAAAACCCCACTCACCTGCCCTACTCAACCCTAACTCCCGCAACCCACAAACACACTTGATGCCACTCCACACTGGCGCCGCAGGCAGAGCGGTTCTTTAAGGTGACTCCGCCAAGGCTAATAAAACACAGGCCAGGAAGAGAACAACCTCATTATCTACCTTTTCAAGACTGAGACAAAACAGAAGATTCTGCTTCCTCTATTTCAGCAGCCCCTCTGAAGTGCCGTAAACACCAGCACAGACCCAGCAGGCGGCACAGCTGCCCCAGCTCGCTCAGCCATCGGCTGGCCCACTGATGTCTCTAACAGCACCCATGCCACTGTGCCCTTGCAGTGTGGACTCAGCACAAGTTCACAGTTAACCCTGACACAACAGCCAAGGGCCGGGATGCCAACTCTCTGCTTTGCTCCAGTTCCCATGCACGGGAGGAGGGTAGCAGCACCGGGTACACAGCAGGGTGGTGCACTGACACTAAACCAAAGCCAGCTGAACCCAGGAGACGATTCCAACTCAGCGTTAAATGAGTTTATTTTATCCAAGATCTCCTGGGAAGGTAAATGTTAAGGATGAGGGAACACTCAGGGCCCAGGGATTGGCTCACAAGACTTAAAGCGGATGTCCGGGACTGACTGGGTGTTAAACACTCTAGACTCCAGTTCTCAGGTCCATGACCATTCTTCTGGTTTATCTGCTTCAGTAATCCCCATTTCCCTCTTTACTCAGCCCAGGCACACACATCCTTGTTTTCCCTCACACTCATGTATGTTCTCATGATTTACAAAGAAACATGTATGTCTGATCTAACACCTCTTCCTTCAGGAACCACATAAAATTAGGTAGTATTGAAACCATCAGAAAAACTAGCTGGCTAACCAGCACCTGTCATGAAACCCCCCAGTTTACATGTCACCTCGACGTGTTGTCCCTGCCAGCAGCTGGAAGGCGACCTCGGCATGGTCCTGGCAGTCAGGACCAGTTCATTACTCTCATCCCACGCTAAGAAATGAAGCTGCAATCAGTAGATGAATCATTCATTTGCTTAACATCCCAGGATGTAGCAGCCAAGATGAGCTTCTATCTTTCTCCATTTTGCTTTATCAAAGGAACACAACTTTGATAGCCTCATGTACAATAATAACAGCTAAGATGATCTCAGTAAGTTGATAGAGCAGGAAGCCACAGGTGCCCTTCCATCACAGGGTTGGGGAGGAATCGACCAGGCAGCAGCATCCATCAGTATGTGTGTTGGCTGGCGCAGGTGACAGACCGCACCTGACCCTACACTGGCTGGTGCATGCAAGAGTCGAAACTGAGCTGCCCCCAGGCGAGGTTTCTTGGGGGACTCCCCAAGTAGACCAGTGAACATAAAGCTCAGCCACAGGGAAAAGCACAAGATACAAGGACCAACCTTGGAATGCATAATTGGGACTGGGCCTCCTCAGCTGCTGATGTCAGTGCAGTAGACAGCATGCCCAGATGCACATGACAGCCAGCAGGGAACTTCAAGTGCCTCCTCAGAGGATGGAAAACAGAACAGCTTGGGCCACTCTTTAGGCCAAGCTTTGCAGCATGTTCCTGAGCCTGTATATGCACTAACATGGATTTTGTCAGCCAACGGATCTTGGAAAGATTTTCTTGACCCTAGTGCAAGGAAGCTGACGGTGGCCCAGAACTATCAGAGCCACTTAAGTAACACCCTCGGAACATTCTTTCTGCCCCTCCCCCCGGGTCTCTAAGGTGTCATCAACCGACTATCCTGCCATTCCCAGGTGTGGATGTTAGTTTGACAGCAAGGAGTGGCTCCCTCCCCTACCTCCCTGTGGACAGAGCAGGAAAAACAAAACAAAACAAAAAGCTGACAGCTGTCCCACCCACCTTCCCTTATACTAGGACCCTCCCCACCCTTATCAGAAGCCCACATGGGCACACATCTCTCTCAACTATGTATTAAAAATAAAATTAAAAATTAAGAAAAAGAAAAAACCCCACAGACAAAGATGCATACTCAGCAGTGAAAACTGAAGTATTTTTTCTCTAAGTCTTCAGATGCAGAACAAGCAAAGGATGTCTAATCTTGCTCCCGCTAGGCGTCTCAGCCGGCACACTTGGACAAGAGGAGGAAAGGAGACACATCCAAGTGGGAAACAAGTGAAGTGATTTCTGATGTGGATGACTTGATCATAAATGCAGAAAAGATCCCATGAAACATTGTTAGAGCTAATAGATTAATTTAGCAAAATTGCTACACACAAAATTAACATGCAAAATTAAGCACTGTTTCTATTGAGAAAAAAGTGAATAATCTGAAAGCAAAGGTTTTAAGAATTAAATTTACAATAGCATCAGAAAGAGTAAAATATTTAGGAATAAACCCAAGCAGGAAGATGAAAGATGTGTATATTCAAAACTGTAAACCATGGCTGAAAGACACAGAAGGACAAGCATACTGCGAGACACCTCTTGTTCCTCAACTGCAAGACGTGACAGTGCTAGGACAGCCAGTCCGCCTAACTGATTCCCTAATCTCCACGAGACCGTTTCTCAGAAACAGAGAAACTCATTCTAAATTTCATACGGACTCTATGGGGACCATGAATAGTTTAAAATTTTTTTTACAGAAAATAAAGCTGTGAGATTTAGATTTTCTGCTTTTAAAATTATTACAGAGATACAGTACCCAAAATAGTATGGTCTGGAACATAGACAGACATATAGACCAATGAAACAAAACAGAGTCTAGAAACAAATTCTCATGTTTCCGATCAAATAATACATGGAAAGACCAACAGAATAAAGGCCACACACACGTTGCCAGAAACATCCAAACGGATCCCTAGAAGGGGGCCGGCCTGCGAGGGGAGTGGCCTGCGAGCCTGCTCCAGTGCTCTGCTCGGGGTGAGCGACCCCTTCCCCCACAGAAGGGACCTTGTCTCAGAGCGCAGCCGTGGCTCCTGCCAGCAGCTTCCCACGAGCACAGACCCCGGAAGGCAATGAGTGGTCTTCAATAGTGGGAGACCCTGCCTGCTTTCCTGGCTCATAGACCCAACCCTGGCCCAGCCCTGCCACTACGGAGCTTTTAAGAGCTTTGTAGAACTCTGAATGGAGATGTATCCACCCACACCCCTACCTCGCTGTCTTTGTTCTCTAAAGAAATAAATAATTCAAAGAGCATGCAGGCAGGGTAGCACTGCTATGTATTGCATCCATCCATTCGTTTTTATCAAATAAATATTCATACATTTTATACATATTAATAAATCAATAGTTTCCTAGGCACTAGGTGGACAGAAATGAGCAAGAGACAAAAGTTCCACATTCTTTGTCAAAGGAGATAGATAATTAACAACCGGAATGTTACATACAGCAATGTTTGTGTGAAGTGTGTGAGAAGAGGGAGATCAAATAATGAAAGGTTTCATGGAGACGATGACACGTGGATTAAGATTCAAGAGTGGTGAAGGGATGGAAAGAGAATTCACGGAATGGGAGACAATACTTGCAAAGTACATCACTGTTGAGACCTTAGTCCCCAAATAGAGAAACAGCTCCGATGCTTCAACAAGGCAAATGCTCTGATTTAAAACCAGGAAAACAAAAGTTCTTGATCCAATGAAGATACACAAAGTACAAATAAGCCAATGAAAATACGTTCAATGTCATTAGTTATTAGGGAAACGCAAGTCAAAACCACAATGAACAACACTTCAGACTTCTTAGGAAGGGGATTAAAGATGCAAGGAAAACAGGTGTTGGCAAGGAGGCAGAGAAACATGCACGTTCCAAGTAGGAGTGGAAAATGGCACTGCTCTGGAAAATCAGCCACTCTACCACTAAGCAGACATGTGGTCAAAGAACTGAAAACAGAGAACCAAAAGACCCTGTTCCTAGCAGCATTACGCACAACAGCCAAGCGCTAGAAACAACCTACATTTCCGCCAAAGGACCAATGGGTGAAATATGTACACAATCCAGTATTACTAACCCATAATGTGGAAGCAAGGTCTGGTACGCGCTACAACACAGACAAATCTCAGAAACCTCATGCTCAGTGAGATAAGCCAGATCTAAAAGGACACACGGTCCACTCCACGTCTGGAGAGGCCAGGCGAAGAGGCACACAGCACATTAGACACCGCCGGGGACAAGCAGGAGGGCAGGGCGAGTCACCGTCCAGTCAGGGCAGAACTTCAGTACAGAGTTCGAATTGCCTGGAGTGACACAAAGTTCTGGAAATAGTCATGATGAAAACACAGCATTGCGAATGTAACTAACACCACCCTGTTATAACTACACAAGGGCTAAAGTGGCAAATTTTCATGTTGTGTATCTTTTGCTGCAACAAGAAAAACAGCGAAGAAACAGAGTGCAGCAGCAGCAACAATGAAGCAAAACTGGAAGAGAAAACGGGACAAGCGCTCCTGGGAGAGGACCACAGAGGACCACACGCTGACTCCTGCTTCACAAAGCTGCTTCGTCCTTCTGTTCACTCCTCCACCCAGCCAAGGCACTGCTTCCCAGCCTTCACAGGCCCCACACCAGGGGCCGGGGGCAGCTGCTCCTGCCTGCAGGGCACTCAGAGCCTGGAGGGCGACAGAGGACACAGGAAAGCTTAGACAGGACGGTGGGGTTCAAAGGGGTGGGAAGGAGAGAAAACTGCAAACAGAAGCAAGGCGAGTGGGGTGACAAGAAGCTTGGTGCGTCTGATGGACAAGGAAGTAACCACGGAACGCGCAAAGGCTGGAAAAGCAACAGAGCTGGAAGGGAAGAGTGTGCCTCCTCTGCATTCTCCAGAGGAAGACCTTGTCAACAGCTAGTGGGGAAAGCTGTTGACGGCCCAGTTAGGTCTGGTGAGTAAATGCGGAGGCGGCAGGATGGCTGGGGTGGCGTGCACCC